CTCTACTATATAAAGAGGGTTCTAATCATTTGTAAGAGACATGTCTCTCACGTATCAAAGCAGTATAACACTTTCTCTTTAGCTCATATTCCTGTTCATCAGCTTGTTATATTTTTAACTGTTCTTGCATCAATCAATTCGAGCGTATTCAAGCTCAAGGGCTGAATTCCATTCAAACACTGGTTTGCTTTATCTTATTGTCAATTTCCATTATTAATCTTCATATTATCAATTGATATTGGGTGAAATCACGTATCTTTAAAACAACATTATAAGTTTAATTGTTATCCAATTTTAAGGGTAAAGAACGTTTTTTTTTTGGGTTCAATACAATTAATAAGGTTACAATTGTTTAAAGAAGAAACGTAACACAAAATGATAAACCTTTGCTTTTAATAGCATGAAGTTGCCGAATATAATTTTCAGCAAATAACAATAAATGAACCCGAGTATCTACAAAAAATGGAAAAATGTATAGTTTGTTAAAACATTAAATTCTTAACGTGGCAATCGATTAAAGATACAGCTTAAAGTAAAAAGGTAAACACAAAAAGATAATCTTTGTGTAAAAATAACAGGAAGTTGCCCAATATAATTTTCAGCAAATAACAATAAATGCAGCTGAATATGATATCAAAATGGTAAAACAATCTTAATAAACCCCGTGCCTCTCGCATGCGAAGCGAGCGCTCTACCATATGAGCTACACCCCCTATTTGTCCTCTCCTAACTAATTACTCAATATGATTATTAACTATGATTGGATTTAAATAATACTCCCTCCGGTCCACAATAAGTGACCAATTTGTTTTAGGCACACCCATTAAGAAAATACTAAATTCTATACAAAAATACTCAGTATGACCAAATTATCCTTAATTAAATATTTAATGTAAGGAGTAAGAAAACTTATTAGGGATATATACATAAGGGTAATTTTGTAAAAACAAATAGAATTTTTTCTTAATTATATAAATGGACACTTATTTTGGAGGGAGTAATACACTTATGGGATCTTTAACCAAATAGCCGTCCATATTCATTGTTTTGATTCAAAAAAGGTTTTCTCTTCCCCTTCTTTTCTTATCTTTCAAGAAGACTAGTACTCCTTTGTTCCACTTTGTTTGGCATGATTCATAGTACGAGGTAGGAGTGACAAGCCGGTGGGTCGGGTCGGATATGAGCGGGTCGAGAAACGGGTAATGCAAAAAATGAATAAATTATTTGATCCAACTCATACTTAATATAGATTAAAAACGGGTTAATCGGCGGATAATATGGATATCGTGGCTTCTTGAATATGATCACTTTTGGAAGAATTCCTTGTCTCCTAAACTTGAGGAACCACCAATTTGAGGCTTTACGAATGTAAAAGTTAAACCCATTAATTATCCATTAGTTATCCATTTGGCTATCCATTTTCTAAGTGGATAATAATGGTTCTTATTTACATTTGATCCGTTTTTAAAAAGTTTATTATCCAACCTATTTTTTAATGGATAATATGGGTAGATAACTATCTTCTTTTAACCATTTTGTCACCTCTAGTACGAGGGATTAAGTAATAATTTTGGGTGTGAATTCAAACAGTTTCTTCAAATTTTTGGAAATAAAATGTCATATATGAAAATTATTCCTATAAAAAGTATTACACGTCCAAATAATAAAAAAATATTTAAGAAAAATGTGATTAAAAAAACAAACTTCTTTGACTTCATATATAGTAAATGTGCCAAACAAAGTAGAACAGAATAAATATGATCTAAGAGTGTCAATAATCCATTCTATCTTTGATTGAGTTAGGTGAATGATGTGGTTAATGTAAAGCAGGACATTAATTATAGCAAGAGAATTAATGAGAAGGTTTATTTTTAACAAGGTTTGTGAGAAGCTCCACAATTTCTGTATCATATATAAATTTGTGATTTTAAAATGAATTATATCGATACAAATATACACACAGATAACGGTAGGCTCGTCTATTATGATCAGTGATAAGCCAACACAAAGAAAAAAGTTTACTTTTGTTGCGTTTCTGTCTTAAAAGTAAACCGGAGATATATACTTTAACATTAAAATTTTACCGAAATTTACTATATAAATTTGAATAATGATGCACTTACAAATATGGCCAGTATCTCTTATCTTTATTGCGTTTATGTCTTAAAAGTAAACAGGAAATATACACTTGAAAATCAAATTTTATAGGAATCGACTATAAATTTGAATAATGATTTGCTTATAGATAAGACCAGTATCTCTTACCTTTGTTTTGTTTCTTTCTTAAACGTGAACCGCTAATATAACTTTTAAATAAACTTTTATAGGAATCTATTATAAATTTGAATAACAACAGTTACAGATAAAGACCAGTATCTCTTACCTTTATTGCGTTTTTGTCTTAAAAGTGAATGAGAAAAAATACTTTAAAATCAGAATTTTATCGGAATCTACTATAAATTTGAATAGGGATTCACTTATAGATAAGACCGGTATCTCTTAGCTTTGTCGTGTTTTTGTCTTAAAGTAAACGAAAAATATACACTTCAAAATTAAAATTTATCGAAATCTACTATAAGTTTGAATAATGATTCACTTACAGATGAGATCAGTATCTTTTATCTTTGTTGCGTTTCTGTCTTAAAAGTGAATGAGAAATATACACTTTAAAATCAAAATTTTATCGGAATCCACTATAAATTTTAATAGCGATTCACTTACAGATAAGATCAATGTCTCTTACCTTTGTCGCGTTTCTGTCTTAAAAGTAAACGGGAAATATACACTTTAGAATAAAAAAAGGAATCTTCTATAAATTTGAATAGTGATTCACTTACTTATAAGACCAGTATCTCTTACCTTTGTCGATTCTGTCTTAAAAGTAAACAGGATTTAGCCTTTAAAATCAAAATTTTATCGGAATTTACTATAAATTTGAATAAAGATTCACTTACAGATAAGATAAGTATCTCTTATCTTTGTTGCGTTTCTGTCTTAAAAGTTTGGGAAATCTACACTTTTAAATCAAAATTTTGTCGGAATCTACTATAAATGTGAATAGCGATTCACTTACAGATAAGACCAATATCGCTTACCTTTGTCGTGTTTTTGTTTTAAAAGTAAAAGAAAAGTATACACTTCAAAATCATAATTTTATCGAAATCTACTATAAATTTGAATAATGATTCACTTACAAATAAGATTAGTATATCTTACTTTTGTTGCGTTTCTCTCTTAAAAGCGAATGAGAAACAACACTTTAAAATCAGAATTTTATCGGAATCTACTATAAATTTGAATAGCGATTCACTCATAGATACAACCAATATCTCTTACCTTTGTGGCGTTTCTGTCTTAAAAGTAAATGAAAAATATATACTCTAAAATCAAAATTTAATCGAAATCTACTATAAATTTTTGAATAATGATTCACTTAAAGATAAGCTCAGTATCACTTATCTTTGTTCTGTTTCTGTCTTACAAGTGAATGGGAAATATACACTTTAAAATCAAAATTTTATCGGAATCTACTATAAATTTGAATAGCGATTCACTTATAGATAAGACCAGTATCTCTTATTTTTGTCGCGTTTCTGTCTTAAAAGTAAATGGGATATATACTTTAAAATCAAAATTTTATTGGAATGTACTATAAATCTAAATAAAGATCCACTTACAGATAAGATCAGTATCTCTTACCTTTATCGCGTTTCTGTCTTAAAAGTAAAGGGGAAATATACACTTTAAAATAAAATTTTATCGGAACCTACTATAAATTTCAATAAAGATTCACTTATAGATAAGAACGGTATCTCTTACCTTTGTCGCGTTTCTGTCTTAAAAGTCTACGGGATATAGACTTAAAGTCAGAATTTTATCGTAATCTACTATAAATTTGAATAAAGATTCTCTTATAGATAAGACTAATATCTTTTACCTTTGTCGCGATTCTGTCTTACAAGTAAACGGAAAATATACAATTTAAAATCAATTTTTTATCAAAATCTACTATAAATTTGAAAAAAGATTCACTTACAGATAAGAACTTAACTTTGTCATGTTTTTGTCTTAAAAGTAAACGCAAAATATACACTTTAAAATAAAGAATTTATGGAATCTACTATAAATTCGAATAGCGATTTACTTACAGATAAGACCAGTATTTTTTACCTTTATCGCATTTTTGTCTTAAAAGTAAACGGGATATAGACATTAAAATCAAAATTTCATTGGAATCTACTATAAATTTGAATAAAGATCCACTTACAGATAAGATCAGTACCTCTTAACTTTGTCGCGTTTCTGTCTTAAAAGTAAACGGGAAATATACACTTTAAATTCAAAATTTTGTCGGAATCTACTATAAATTTGAATAGCAATTCGTTTACAGATAAGACTAGTATCTTTTATGTAATGATATTGATCGACATGTCATTACATAAAAATTATCTTTTCCGTTTAAAATGCAATTTTATTGTATCCTAAAAATTATTTTTCCATGAAATTGAACTAATTAGCGGTTAGCGCTGATTTTTCTTCACTTACGTCTTACACTTGAGCAGAATCTAACGAAGCTCAGGTTCATTAATTACGACAATATTTTTTTCCTAAGAATTAATTAGACACAAAAAGTTGACTTATCATCCTCATACCCACGCCAAAGAGTAGTTTTCAACAATTAATATAGTAGGGTAGGTGTTAATTACCAGCAAAGAATATCCTCGGATATACATGTGTAAAACGTCATAGAGCTAATCTCCTTATTAAATAATCACATTAAATGTTAACTACAAATTAAATCCTCTCAAATCTCAAGTAATATCCAAGAAATTTACAAAATCTCATAATCAAATCAATGGAAAACAAGTACCAATCAAGTTTGGCCCCAGCTTTGTTTTCACCGCTAAAATCCTAAACCAAAAAAAAAAAAAAAAAAAAGTTGGCTGACTTGACACAACAATATAAAAGCCAAATAGTCCTAGTCTCTTCTATTCAAAAATCTTTCCCTTTAAGAAAAAACACAAGAATTTCAAAAAGCCATAGCTTAATTTCTTCTATTTGTACTTTTACTTAATTTTTATTGTTACATGTGCTTCACACTATAATCATTTCAAGACTTTTTTATATGTGTGATGAGTTATATGTAACAATTTCTTTTTCTTAGTCAAAAAATCATTTTTTTTTAAAGCTTTGGCTATGGAGTTGGAGGTGGAAAACAAGGTTTATGTAGCAATTAATTCAAATCTTCATGATGGTTTTTTGACTTTACAATGGGCACTCAAAAGATGGTCTTCTCAATCAATCACAATTGTTATTCTTTATGCTGTTAATAACATATGTAAAGACTATGTTATTACACCAAGTAAGTCTTATATAATTAACCCTTTTCCCCCAAACTCTCATCATTTTCTATACTACTGTAATTTTGCTTTTCTTGAGCGGAGAGTCTGTCGAAAACAACCTCTTTATATTCACACGACAGAATAATTATAAGGTTTACGTAAACAGCATCCTCCCCAGACCCCACTTGTGCGATCACATTGAATTTTTTGTTGTTGTTGTTGTTGTCGTCGTCTTATTATTTTCTTTTTTTTTTCTTATTTATATATGTAATTTTTTTTTTCTTTTTTTTGTTGGTATAGTGGGAAAGCTACCAGCAGGTTCAGTGAATGAAGAAAAACTGAAAGATCTTGAGAAGTTTGAAGAAGCAAAGAATCAAAAGATACTTTGGAGATACAAAGTTTTTTGTGGAAATGTATATGTTTTTTTTAAGGCTTTGATGATTCTTTATAACTTCTTATTACAAGTTTTAATTACACTTTTAACCAAAATTTCATCTCTTTTTCTTTCAAATAGGTTAAAGTTGAAGCAATCAAGATTGAAGGATATGATGAATCCATTCAAGAAATTATGGTGGATTTGATCACTACTTTAAGGATAACCAAATTGGTCATGTCATTGACTTTCATGAAATCTTCATCATGGTACAACTCACCCCCACCCCCTTTCCCCCAAAACCCAAAAACCCAAACCTAACCTACTACTATACTACTTACTTACTNTTGTTGTTTGTTATTCATGATAATATATTTTAATTTTCTGAAAAAAATGCTTTTTTTTTAATAGGAAATCAAGAAGTGCAATAAGTGGATCATTTTTTGTGCATAGACAAAAGCCAGAATTCTGTGAATTATTTATAATATGTGGAGGGAAGTTGGTTTTACTAAGGGAAAGAAATAATGAAGGATTAATAGAAGATGATCAAGGAGAAATGGTTGCAAATTCAAGATCAAAGAGGCAAAGTTTTAGAGATTGGGTTGTAAAAATGTTCCCTGAAAATAGTGCCAAAATGAAAAATCAATGTGATTCATCAGCAAGCAATGGCTCATTTGATCAATGGGAAAAGTATAAAAATGAAATTGAGAATTACATGAGTCAAATATTATCTTCAAATGCAGAGGAAATTAATGATTTTGTTGCTAATGAAAGTCTCCAGAATAGCATTACAGAGCTTCTTATGGCTGATAATATGGTAAGTCAGTGATAATTTTCAAATAAATTATTAGGATTTAACTTATATATATTGACAGTGTAAAATTGTTTTACTTTTCGGTATATTCTAACATGTGTTTTTCTCCAGGTAACTAGTCTCACTTTGTAAACGGCCGTATATATTTATCTTTTAGGTGACCTGATTGTGGATTTTTTTACGTCGTTAGTCTTTAAAAAATAGTTAAACTCAATAGATTTGATTATACGGTCCAGGATCAGTTTGGATTAGTTACAAAAAAAGATTTTTATGTTCGACAAGTCAACTTTGGTTTCCTTATATTAATTTATCTTTTTTGTTAAATTCTTATATTTTTTCTTGTTCAGTTTGAATCAGAATTTTTATGATAGTGATAGAACAACAAACATACTGGAGTAGTCAAGACTGTTTGCTTATAATTCTTGATTATATGAAACCCTCTAGTAATGACCTTTTAGGTGCTAATTCATCATATATTTTATTTTTTTTATTTAAAATGAAATAGCAAGTTCCTTAAAATCTGGGAAGTATATGAAGGTAGAATGTTACAACAGTTGATGTTTTTATGTCAGACCAGTTTGAGTACATCTCGACTATTTTACTAGGTATTTACTATCACCCACCACTACAGCTACCGAGTAGTTCTGCTCGCTAAAGCTTAGGTAGATTGGAAGAAATCACTTGCTGTTTTTAGTTTTCACTGAAATATAAACTGGTGTTACCATGATTTTTACCGACTTCATTGATCATTACATCATATAACAATTATATTATCTAGTAGGTGATAAAATTTATTATATTGGTTTTTCTAGGAAGATTTCAGTATTTTTTTTCTTTTGTTGTTTTCCATAATTCCCTCAAAATTTTAGAAATTGATTTCTTATTCTTTGAAATCTGATTTATAAACAAATAATATTAGACTGTGCAAGAAAAGAGAAAAGCTTTAAAAATCAAGTTTCTGGAGATCAAACAAACAATACAACTAAGCAGAGAAGAAGCAAAAGCCCATGTTAGAGGACATGCTAAGGCTCAGTGGGCTACCACATTATGTACTAGAAGGGTAAGTCTTACATTTTTTCTTCAAAAATTCTTATTGTTTAAGCTACTTTCATTTTGCAATTTACATACTAAAGGGCAGCCCGGTGCGCTAGCTCCCGCTATGCGCGAGGTCCGGGGAAGGGTCGGACCACAATGGTCTATTGTGTGCAGCCTTACCCTGCATTTTTGTAAGAGGCTGTTTCCACGGCTCGAACCCGTGATCTCCTGGTCACGTGGCAGCAACTTTACCAGTTGCGCAGCTCCCTTTCGCGGTTTGCATACTAAAGACTTTGCTGTATATAGGCTGAAGAAATTGATGGTTGCATAAACGATGAAATCGCACGAAAGGCTGATCTAAAGAGGGAGTTAGATGCCACAAAAGAAGAGCTCAGCGAACTTCATACTGAAGTTGAGATCACGACGAGTAGACTCAACTCAATTCTTGAACTACAACGCGAGCTCTCAAACAAGCTGCAGCTGTCGTCTGTGGCAAGATCGCGTGCTGAGGTCAAAGTGGAGAAAGTAGTGAAGCAAAGAACAGATACACTTCAGGAGATTGAGGAGTATAGAAAGCAAAGAGATGTTCTACGACGAAGGATAGAGTTTTGCAGGGAAAAAGACGCGATAGGAAATGCTACAATGTTGATAGAACCGAGTTTTGAGTACAAGGAGTTCACTGCTGCAGAGATTAGAGCAGCTACAGATGGATTTTCGGATCGTATGAGGTTGAAATCTGGTGGTGATTGGACTGATGTGTATAAAGCTAGGCTTAATCACACATCAGTTGCGATTAAACTATATAGTTCAGGTGATGTAGATTCTGCAGATGCATTCCGAGCTAAGGTACTTACCCTCACCTTACACTCCGTTATACTTTGGGATCATTCGTGACCCTTATCCAGAGGCGGACCCAGGATTTGAAGGTCGAGGGTGCACTTTTAGGTTCAATCAAAATCTGCTTTGTATACAGAGCGCCCAGTAGGCTAGTACTAATATACCACTATTTTCTAAAGACATATACATATATACATGAAATTTTTGCCGAACTTTAAGGGTTCTGGTGACCCCTCTTTGTAGAGCATAGGTTCGTCTCTGCCCTTGTCAACAAATCGTCTCTTATTTTCCCTTAGCTTTAATAGAGCTCGAGTGGGTGGGTTCTACGTGTCAAAATTTTACCATTTTACTTTTGACCATGGTTCAAAATGACTCTCTTGTTATGCTTCAAGTTAGAGTTTCGTTAGGGTCAAGGGCAAATAATATGTTTCCCATGGTAGAGGGGTAAATGATGCTTTTCCTATAAGTTAATAATCTTTAAGAGTTAGTATAATATCATGAAAACAATATCATTACATGTCTGAAATCCGCAAAATTTCTGATGCAGGTGAAGCTCTTCAGCCACATGAGGCATCCTCATATACTAGCGATGATCGGATTTTGCTCTGAGCTAAGGTGCATTGTGTTTGAGTATATGCACAATGGCTGCTTAAGAGACATTCTCTTCTCAGGCAAGAGAAGCTCTAAAAGGAGAAACAAGTGTCTAAACTGGCAAGCTAGGATATGCATTGCAGCCGATGTATGTACTGGCCTATGCTTCGTCCATCGGGCCAAGCCAAGGCCCGTGGCTCATGGCAACCTCAACCCTTCCAAAATCCTTCTTGATCGTAACAATGTGGCAAAAATCCATGGTTTTAGGACGCCTTTGTCTTCTGATAAATCGGATATAAGATCAGATATCCGGGCTTATGGGAACTTAGTCTTACAGATTCTGACCGGAAGAAACTGGGCCGGGCTTATCGAGGAGGCGATAATGATGGACCAAACTAAGCTTATTGAAGTACTTGATCCGACAGCCGGAGAGTGGCCATTGGATATAGCACTGGAGCTTGGAAGAATAGGAATAAAGTGTTTGTCTATTCATGAAGATAAGGAGTTGAACATGACTAGTTTGGCAAGAGAAGTAGAGAAAGTGAAGAATTTAGCTGATGAAATAGTAGCAAATGGTGAATGTGTTGCGGCAAACGAAAGAAATCAAGATGATGAAGACTCAGCTGAGTTCCCTAATTTCTTCCTTTGCCCCATTTTGCAGGTTCATTGACTATTCCAACATTTTACATTACTTGGTTAAAATATTATTCCCTTCAAATTGACTATCATGTCTCAGTTTTGACTATCATCTTCAGGGGCGAAGCTTTATATGGCCAAGGGTGGTCAATTGAACACCCTTCGCCGAAAAATTATACTATGTATAGGGTAAAATATTAATTGTTATTGATTAAAAAATAGACTTTGAACTCCCTTGCACAATCTACTGGCAAAGGGTGTTCAAATTATTGAATTTTCTGGCTTTGCCACTGATCATCTTCATATTGATATCATCTTCACTTCGAGATATGTGAGTATTAAAATGTCACTTTATTGTTAAAGAGTAGAAAAAAGGATCTTCAAAGATGCCTCAGGACTTTGGCCTAGTAGTAAGAGTACAACAAGTGATGTGCAGGTTAGCGAACGTCACACGAACCTTGTAGTTAAGTGGAGAAAGGTAGAAGGGCGGCCTATTATCCATTGAGTTTCGAGCCATGTGCCACTGACTCAGGGTTTTCTCACTTTTAAAAAAAGGATTTTTATTTTAAAGATTATGCGATTTTCCAGTAACCATGTTTTCCTTTTTTGGTTGCAGGAAGTGATGAAGAATCCACATGTTGCAGCTGATGGATTTTCATATGAACTAGAAGCTATAGAAGAATGGCTAAAAACTGGAAGAGATACATCACCAATGACAAACTTAAGGCTCAACAACAAGCTTCTCACACCTAATCAAAGTTTACGTTCTCTAATCGACGATTTGCAAAAGAAAAGATCAATTTCTATCAGATAGATAGATAGATAGATAGATAGAGAGAGAGAGAGAGAGAGAGTTGAGCCAAAGTTCTATAGAGTTTTGTACATGCAGAAGAACAAAGGTTGTAGAGAGGGAAAAAAAAGAACTGAGTCTCTTAGTTTTTAGAGTAAACAAAGTCAGAACTATCTTTGAGAAGTTCCTTCACTGTTAATACAAAGTGTATCAAAGATGGTAATTATCCATAGAGTTAGTAACAGTAATCTTAAGAAGTTTCAGTTTTTCCTTTTAACAATTTTGCTGATCTAAGCCTTTTGATGATTTTGTAACAAATCATCAGTTTCTTAACAAGAAGTTCCTTTATCCAAGTTTTAGCTGATTGGAGAGTTGTTTCAGCCTAAGATATTTTGGCATGGAAGATAAAGGGAGAGAATTGAAACGGAACAAAAACAACGACCCAGTGAAATCCCACTAGTGGGGTCTGGGGAGGATAGTGTGTACGCAGACCTTACCCCTACCCCGAGGGACTAGAGAGGTTGTTTCCGAAAGACCCTCGGCTCAAGAACACAATGAGAAGTGGAGATAAAAACAATGAGAACTGGAGAAGTTCTAGTAGGGTGAATTTTGGCGAGTCCAGTGTCAATAAATTTTCTTTCTCACAACTACGCCTCAATCCCGAGCAAGTGGCGGTCGGCCGCATGAATCCCACTGACCATGTCGCTCCACTTAAGCTCATCTCAGACCAATATTCTTCTGTCTAAACTTTCTAATGTTTTTGCACAAACCAAACAGAGAAAGATACCAAAGGCAGGTTACCACTGCAATAGTACTTCAATATAGTGCTTCCATTCACCAAAACCAAAAAACCAACTTACATTTCTGTATAATAATGGATTAACTGTTGAATGTGGGATTGCCCAATGCTCTTTCACAATTACAAAGATAATGCTATATTTTGGTGAAATCTCTAACCTCGTTGTGTATAAGATGGTAAAAATATGTATATGTACCTTTCACCTATTTTAGCTGTACTCTTTCTAAGCTATGCTTGAACCACAATAAGTTTCTTCCCTGAAGTTTGGCACGCGGCGAGCAAGTTTTGTTGCATCTTGTTATGTGCCCACACATTTAGCCCAATGGAAACATCTTGCTACTCTACTTGGTAAAGAGTAGTCTAAAAGGGACGAAGGATCTGTCATTATGTCTTCAGCCTTTGACCAAATGTATACCCCTCGTTCTTGTCTGCTACCAGGGACCGTGTTGTCTAGTACGAATGCTACCAATAGCGTAACCACCATGTTCAACGACAGAAGAGCGTTCATTGCAAAATTGAACTGACAACAACATTAGGAAGAAACAAGACGTCAGTTCTTTGCAAATTCAATGAAATTAACAAGGAAAATGGAGTAAAAGTACATCTTCTATAGTAATAACACATTCTTGTACACAGTTTCCATGTTATATCAAATCGCGTGAAATGTTAAGGAGTTTACAGGACAAGTATTCGATTGGTTTGTCATTAATTTTTTGGCTGTATACTGCACTAACGATACATTATTTTGTCAAACTTCAGACCTTTACACTATAAAAAGTCAAATTTTGGTAAATTCATTTGAAATACAAACATCCTATAAATCTACTATATGCTTGTTTTATCAAATCCAAAACAGAAAAAAGAAAAAATGAGATTGCCTGTAGGTTGAGTTAAAGGACAGTAACAGAAGTCTTTAAGAGGCACTCACTTGTGCATTGCCGGTATGGACTGGTCCATTGGATGCTGCTGCATAAGGAATTAGATATCCAGGCAAAATTAGGCCAGTCTCTGGTGCATACTGCTGAAAATAAGCAGGGATCGACAAACCAAAGAACAACGATACACCAACAATTATAATGTTTCGGGAACTTGCATTTTGGGTATACTGCAAAGTTGATAGGCCCAGAGCTACAATAAGAGCCCATATGAAGCATAGTACTGCAGCCGCCAATGCTTGTGGCATAGAAGCAAGAATAGCACCAATTTTACCTACCATACACAAGTAAAAAGATTAAGAGCTTACATGTCAACATTGCCGAGATAATTTTCATTGTTAAAGAAGCACATAACCAGAAAACAAATGTTCAGTATCTAAAAGAAGGCAGTGTGTTTGCTTCTAAATCTACGCTCACATGTGATTAATGAAAACACTTAGAAACCGCGGCAGAAGCAAACCAAACCAAAAATCTTTTACTTTACATTCATGCGTGCAGAAATACACACTTTTGATAAATGGAGACAGTTGAGGCACCAAGTTCTGAAATTAGAGATCTTTTGACGAGAACTTATAATTTGGTGTGCAGAAGTGATGCATAGAAATGCCATAACATCGGTTGATTAACCAAATGCAGTATTCAGGAAAGAGGACAAATAGCTTATATAAAGTATCCAAACACACAATACACCATCCTTTGGAACAAGACTAGATTACTTTTTAATTAGAAAAAAGAAGAAGGAATAAGATAAGCTTTTTCCAGCTTAATGATTATGTCTTCGCTAAATCATACCTACGAAGGAGAACAGGATTAAGAAAGCTGCTCCAAGCTGTACAGCCCTTCGGCTTGCTACCTTTGTTGCATTGATAGTGTGTACATTCTCGGTCAAAGTTGTTGACCCAGTACCCGTTCCCCAAAGTCCAGCCAATACACTACAGAAACCTTCCAAACCAATCCCCCTGCTGACTATACCCGGGGTCGGAGGTTTCAAATTGATTCGTATTGCTGCGGAGTGATAACTTCCAATCTACAATGTCAAAATCTTAATCAGTTTATAACTCAAACAAACTCTGCTGTTGCTCCAAAAGATAGTACCCAAAATAATTGGTCTTGAATTCTTAAAGATAGTAAGATTAGTAAGAGAAAAGATTATGTTTCTCTTTCCTTTATTTTTGAAGCAATGTGAAAAAATTCAGATAAACCAAAAACAATAAAGATGGAACTCCATATTAACTCATTCTTTTTTCTAAATATTCAAAAGTTATCTTACTTGTGAAATGCAATATGTCAGCATAGAAAAAAAGAGGAGTAAGATTCCTTTTCTTATAGGCTATATTGAAAAATCACATAGAAAAACATAAATTATGCCAGAAAAATGCCAAATTATGAAAACAAGACCTCATGTTGATGAAATATTTAACTAGAATAACTTCAATATCATAAATGAACCTTTAGACAGGTCACCGAGTACTCACCGAGTCAACGGAAGCAACTAGTGACACAATGACCATAATGATTGAAGTACGTAACCGAAAGGTAGGTATACCCCATTGGAAAGGGTAAGGAATCCTGACCCAAGCAGCGGTTCTCATAGCATTGGAGACATCAGTCCTACAGTGCCTCATTGTATCTGCATGCTTTCGACAAGCATCAATAAGGATGTTGGAAGCTGGTATGTCAGCGCTACAACCCTTAAAGTTATATGCACCACCAGTCGTCAGGAAAAACGCATATGCCCAAATGATTACAACACTAAAAGGGACCTGCAATAATTCTTTTTGTTTGTTAGCACACAGATGAATTATGTGATGATAGCTTCACAGTAGCTAAAAAATCATAATGGATCTCACAAACAGAACTATTCATAAGAAAGGTATTACAAGAAAGAAATACGCACTGCATATATACGAAACACTCGGTGACCAAAAACGGATACTCCTCGTAGGTACTGCAAAGAGAAATGATGGAACTAAGTTAGTGAAAGAAAAACATATACTAGAGCTCAGGAGCGAGCCACTGAATATCCATGCCAATACAAACTGTTTTTTCTTTAATCAAGTAAGAAAAAGATTTCATTAAATAAAGGGAAAAACTCATCTATACAAGTAGTATACCAAAAATAGAAAGTATGATCATGAAACATTCACAGAGCTACCTACCAAGGTAAAAATAAGGACCAGCAGTATCTGAGGAAGGCTGATTTCTACGCAACTACCAGCTTGTGGAAAACCATAGCTAAAAAATGCTAAACCCACTGCTGCTACTGTTGGTGCGACAACGACTGGATTTATGAACCTGCAGGATATGTTCTTAAAACATGTCGATTAATTCTTGGAAGTGTCTTAAAAACAGAACTAGAAGACTGATCCATGTATACAGATGACTCAAAGCTAGTCTTGGTAAAACTTTAACTTATACAGACAATTATTACAAAGGTTACATAGATCCCAAAGTCCATTGTAATCCATCTTTCTTGATGCTTAAGTTTATTTTGATATCTTCCCGTCTATAGCAAGACAGATTTGTAAAATACAAGAAAAAAGTATATTCTTTAAGGCTTAAATGGTTTCCGGATTCTGCACAGTACTGCAATTGGTGAATAACCTTCCTCACAACATTTCAAAAGCTATTAGTAGGTTACTTATTTCCTTTTCAATAGCATGCAAAAAACCATTTGTATAAACTGAAAATTACCTCATATTATTTAAAAAAGAAATGCAGCTCTTCCAAGTTCTCCTAGAAAGGAAATTGACGAAAGGGGGCTGGTCAAGATGGATAATGAGTTAAAGGGCTCAAATATTACCGTAGTAAAAGGGACATCAAGCCACTGTAACCCAAGAAGCTCTGGAAAATCGATCCAACAATTATAGCTCCTTGTAACTCCCTCATTATGTACCTAAATTTCTGTGGACACCCGAAAAAGTTTCCATCAGCAAAAATCCATCATCTATAAGAGCATGTAAAAAGTATAACAAATAAATAAATAAATTTTGCCTGCAGTCAATATTGACACCACATTATGAGGATTAAGCACGGTTTTTCTAGAAATCTTCCATTGCACATGCAGTGTAAAGACTATAGATTGTTACTGATTTAGGTAACAAAGTTATAGAAGCAATTTGTTCTGGAAACAATTAACACCTTCAAGTAGTACTAGAGTAAAAGATGAAGATCATTCACTTTTCCTCTTTATTCAGGCGCAGTAAAATGCTAAAAGTACCCCCCCCCCCCCCCAACAGGTAATAGAAACAACAAATTTAAGTATAACTCTTGGCTACAAACTGCGAATGGAGGTCTTGTTATATCTCTTTATGATGCTACTTAATCATTTGAACATATTCAGTACACATACAAAAATGGATACATAAAAGAACCATTTACCTAAACAAGGTCTCACAAGGGTAACTTCATTTTTAACTTACATGCTCAGCAAGATTCCGGTACTCCTCGGAATTCATGATAACTAATGCAGGCGCCAAATATACAAATGAACTCCCTTGAACCAAAGGGAGACGGGTGCCAAAATATGAGTGCAGTATTGTGGTAAGGCCAGAAACTAGCAGCATCGTGGAAACCACATTGGCGGTATCTTTCTGTCAACATATGGAAAATGAAATCAATGAGAGTGAAAATAAACTGCATTATAAAACTGTAATTCATGTTGCAAGCTCATAAGGAAACTACTCACATCACTTCCACCCATTGTGGGAACAATAATCAGAGGGATAAAAATAAGCGAACCAGCCAATGATAAATAGTGCTGCAACCCATAGTACATAAGAAGCACTGCAGTTTAAAGACCAAAAGATGGCCAATTAGTGATCAACATAGAATCTCACGAGATACTACAGCTAATAAATTTCACCATGAAATGTCTTCATTCTTCATCACGAATAGATCTCAAAATGCGTATCTACTAATTCTTTGCGACAGAAAGACAATTTTGTGATCGGATAGCATAAGTTTGGTTATACATTGTACAATGAAGCTTCGGAGATCTGTCTATTTGCTCAAAATAGACAGATCTGTCAATGCGTATTGGATGAGGACTCAAATGCATCCAAGCAGACTTTCATTAAGGGGATTAGTTCCCATTGGGCAAACATGTTTATATCTACTGTACATTGTCTGAGGTGGCATTTTAAATGCTTCTTATGTTTGAATTTACTTTCTACAAAAGGCTTTTAAGGATATTACCATTTCAATTACAGTGCCTTACTTCAAGGATTGGACACATTATCCTTTTTGTACATGTGACTTCAGCACCATCAACAGTCATTTATCCATTCTTCTACTTCGAATACCCTACATTACTAAAACATTTCTTCCTGCTCCGCTTTATACTTCTACTTAGATGGTCATAGAACTGTCTCTCTTAGCAATGCGATTCCAGAAGATTCATAAATTTCTTCCAAAATTATTCGACATAAAGACATTCACAACCAAATAAAAGGGAAATAGGATTAGTTCATATCAATGACGAGCAAACAACAACAACAACTACGCCTCAGTCCCAAGCAAGTTGGGTCGGCAATATGAATCCTCATTTCTTCTTGTAAGCTCAACTCATAACATCATTTAAATCAATGACAAGGGCAACATTCAAAAATCTTAAAAGCAGAATATGTACTTACCAAGTCCCGGATTATCCCTTAGTCCACATTTTATCGGCGGAGACTTATGCCACCCTCCATAACTAGGATCCTCACCATCAGGATATACCACTTCTTCATCCACATCGCCGTCATCCTTCCTCTGTTCTATATGTCCATTCCCGTTTACAGCTCCATTAGCACTACTATTACCATAGCCATTCTCATTCAAACCATCTTTCCTCTCCTCATTATGAGCTCTCAAAATAGGCTCCATCTCAATTCTCCTTCCAAGATTCTCTCCTCTTCTTGTTCCATTTCCTAAACCCTCACCCAAAACTGGCTCAATTTCAACCCCTCTATTTCTAGCTCTTCCCAAAATGGGATCAAGCTCAATCTTTGGAGATACAGTTTCAGTTTTATTAACCACCCCTCTTTCTAAATCAAATCCAGCATTATCATTTCTCACATTCAGATCTCTCCCACTAGTAAAATCCCTCCTACTTAAACTATTAGCTCTTTCTGTCTCACTAGAAAAAGTTGTTGACACAAAACCAGTTCTTTTAGCCCAAGATTTCAACTCTCTAGGATCATGACCTTTTTTTGGTACAAAAGGCTCAATATTTGGATTTTGACCCTTTTGTCTATCCATTTTTTCTTTCATTTTTGAATTTGACCCACCTTCCATTTCACCTTTTCCTCAAATGGGTATAAATCTTTTCAACAAAAACACCAAAAAAATCAAGTCTTTCCTCACCCCCACAACACAAAAACAAGAGAAGAACAAAACTTTAAGCAAATCAAGAACTGAAGTTTCAATAATGGAGGTGGCAGTGTGAAGTGAATATGGTTTTTTGAGCTCTTTCAAACCAGTAATGGTGGCTGTTTAGCTAGTAAGAGCTCAAATATTAGTGAAAAGTAGCATTTTCTTTCTTATACTACAGAGTACTATATTGTGATTTTTCTTTTGGCGTTGCCGCTCAGCTGTTGATATCAAGCTGAAGCTTCTTGGGATGATGAAAGTGTAAAGACAAAAATGCCACTATTATTATGTCAGTTGCCGTTGAAATCCTGAGTACTGTGATTGGAGGATGACTGTAATTATGTCCTTTTTGAAATAGGTACTTTGGCTCCCTTAGTTTTCAACCATTGTCCATATCTTAACTCAGTTTTTGGACTCACTGAGTTATTGTTGTCTTTACCTTGCATAAGGAAAGAAAATTGTCGGTTCTCTTGAGTGATTCCGAGCTAGCTTGTGAGTACCTTGACTACTTTAGTGGGTATTTCTTATTTTTTTGTCCGTATATATATTTGGTAAAGTTGCTGCCATATGAGCATTGTCATAATTGGTAAAGTTGATGCCATGTGACCAGGAGGTCACGGGTTCGAACCGTGGAAACAGGCTCTTGCAGAAATGCAGGGTAAGGTTGTGTATAAAGACCCTTGTGGTCCGGTCTGATGGTAGGCTATAATCCCGTATTTTAGTCGTTTATTGCACTCTAATTCACTGCACTTTACTTGTGTTTGAGCTTTAATTAGTAGTGTTTTGCACTGATTGTGTGTTTTATACTTGTAGGAGATGATGCCGAGTTAAGAAGATGTGCTGGAGCTTTGAAGTCTGAGTAAAAGCCAAGGAATTAAACTGGGATCGCGTCCGGGGCTCGTGGACAGGCGTTGCATACGAAAGTTGGAAGAAATAGCAAGGGCTAGAGCAAAAAAGTACTAGTGTGTCACATAAGGCGTGGCATTAAGCGTCGCATTAGTACAAAATTTCATCAGAAGTTTGAGAAGTTCATAGACTTGGAGTTTTTGGGTCTGACAAAAAAATACCCTAATGCTAGGCATAGTGCGTGGCATAGTGCATAGCATCAGTACAAAATTTTGTCAGACAAGCTAAGTTCAGAGAGTTTACAGCCGAGCAAATTGCACTAATGCTACGCACCCAGCCTAGGATAGTGTGACACATGAAGTGTAAAAAGATCGTAGGTTTTTCCATTTTGGCTCTGGTTCGTTCCTACTTCGTATAAATACACTAGAAACACGCTTTTGAGAGGACTTTGGGACATACTTTCAACCTAAGGAAGCTAAGGAGGAGGTGGAAGAACACAAGCGCAAGGATTTCATCGTTCCTTCCTCACTCAAGACCCGAGTTTGGATCAAATCTATGTTTTTCTATACTTTGATTATATTTGTGACGAATTTCTCCATGTCTATGAAGTAGTTCCCTTTAGGGTTTGATGAATTGGTGTATTGATGATTATTTGTGGATTATGACTATAGTTTTATGTATTGAATCGTTTTGGAAGATTTAATTGCTGCATCTATATTAACTAGTTCATGTAATCGAGAGAGGCATAACTTGTGATATCTTTGCATTATATTGTTGGTTGAGTTCATAGATTCTTCTAAGTAATCGAAAGAGGCTAGTTGAATCATTGATTAAACCTAGTTAGGAGAATAATCGAAAGAGGTTTTCCTAAAGACCAATCCACTACGTATTCTTGCATATCTTCACATTGCTTAATTTGGTTCGTCTCGTGAGGTTAAGGCTTAATCGGGAGAGGAGTTTCTGCTGAACGTTTGAACCATTAATTGAGTGAATTCGAGAGACTCACTTGAACATTAGAAGTGAATTATCTAGAGTCAGATCCCGAACAATTATCTTGCACATATCCTATCAAAACCCTACCTTCTCCCAATGATAACCTTATTTGCTTATCCCTTGCCTCGATAGTCACTAGTCAATAGCTTTTCTTAGTTAATTTTAATTATTAATCATATAAATCTCAATTGTTGATCCACCTGGATAGCAATCAAGCTAGAAACTATGAGAATATTGTTTAAATCAAATCCCTTTGGATACGATATTATACGTTTTGCGCTCGTCACAGCCCTTCCTCGGACCCCGCGCATAGCGGGAGCTTAATGACCAGACTGCCCTTTTATATATATCAGGTAACTCCACTTGTTTAGGTTTATCGGTATCTCTTATTTCTTATCAGTGTATATATTGGGTACTTAATAAGATTCAAACAAATAATAAAAAAAATCACCCCGTGTTTTTTGCCTTTGCTGACTCGATTATGTTTTATCCATTTATCATATCATGTTCTTGTTTGTCTATAACATTTCCAAAGGAAATTGGACTATCTTAGCATTGTTTGTTTTACTAGTTATGAAGAATCATTTAAATTTTTAAAGTTTCTTGTATCACAAGATAAAATTCAATAATAGTGTTAAAGAGCTTTCCTAGGAAGGGAGAGAAATATGTGTCTATGAATTAGAAGCTTGAATTATGAAAATTAAGGTCGATATTTTTGAGATTTGTTAGGACTATAATCAAGAAAAATGATGTTAAACAGTGGAAATGTGTCAACTCCATTGTATTGTCAAGACAAAAGGTTCTTACTACTCCATTCATTGCAAATACAAAACTACATGAAGAGAGGAGATTTTAAGTGATTTTCCAAATCTTGATTTTCTTCTTTGCCTTTTTTCTTAAAACACATTATTACTTATATAATCAATTTCTCTATAGTGACTGATATTGACAACCTACTGATACATACCAAACCTTGTATTTTGAAAATTATTTCTTGATATAATGTGTCCTAAAACAAAAGAAATATTAGGTAGAAGCCATGTGTAAAGCAGCCTTTAAGTATTTAAGCCATAGGCCAAGTGTCATAATTTGATTTGCTAGAATGGTTGATAATGATGTTTAACGAGAAACAGTAGTGTTATTTAGTGGATGAAAACATAAAGGGATATTGGAAATGCTAATTGGAGAAAGAAGGCAAGAAAGCTAGGGAAAGTGAGTGAACTTCAAAGGGACAAGGGACAGTTAGGAGTGCATAAAAATCCGAAAAATCGAACCAAATCGAAAACCAAATTAAACCGATCAAAAAACCGATACTTTTTGGTTTGGTTTGGTTTTGGTTTTGAATTTTAAAAACCGTTCAAATTTGGTTTGGTTTTGGTTTTAATCAGAAAAAAACCGAACCAAACCGACTATAGGAGTAGCTATTTCAAATTTATTATTACACCTATATATATGTATATTATTATACAAAGTTTCAAAAAATTTATGGTAAATGTTAATAGTTTGCACTTCTAATATAGTTTTTTACCTTTACATTCTAGTTTGATTGGTAGTTTTTCTTTGTTTAGTATAAGAATCCATTTCATGTTAAAAATAACATATTTTTAATTGAGTCCTTAAATTATTCATCACTATTTGATTCAATTATCATCAATATATCTTGGTAAATAATAGATATCTCAAAGGGCAATTGATTTGATAGTGTTATATTAAAAATGTGGCCGCCGGAATATGTGTTTGGTAGTGTATGTCTTATATTTAAGAAAAAACCGACAAATAACCGAAAAAACCGAAAAACCGACATAAACGGAATCAAGAAAAACCGACTTAATTGGTTTGGTTTGGTTCTAATATTTGAAAAACCGACTTACTTGGTTTGGTTTCTTTTTAGGGAAAAACCGATCCAAACCGAACCATGAACACCCCTAGGGACAGGCCGAGACACAAAGCATCTCGCGTTTACGTAAGATCGCAAAAAAGTTGCACTCAAAAGGGTGTGATGTAGACGGTCTACCTTAATGCAAATATTAGTGGTTGCTTCCATTGCTTAAACCCGTGACGAAAACAAATTTACCTACATTATAGGTTGAAAAGAAATTAAACTAATCAGATTTCTCTAGTTTGATAATTAGGACTTAATGGTTACAAACTTGTAATTATTTACTTTTTTGACACCCTTGAGGAACAAGATAAGATTGCTAGTTTGGAGTTGTTGATGATGATGCGTAACCAAACAAAAGGTCTTGAGTTCATCATTTTGTTTTTGCTACCACTCTACTTCCCATTTCGTCAAGCTTTCTTTTGGGGCAAGGGTGGGGTCTTTTTTTATTTATTTTAATTTTGAGGTATTCTTCAATTTTTATTTTTAACATTGTACTAATTGGTATGTTATTTTCAACTTTGTATTTAGATGATGTTGAAAAAAAGAGACGATCTTAGACATTATCTTAGTTGTTTTACAAAAAGTAGAGGCTGAATACATCATACCTCTTAGTGGTGAACCCAGTGGCGGAGCGACATAGAACGAACGGGTGTCAAGCGACACCCCTTCACCGGAGAATTACACTATACTGCTAGATAAAAAAAATTATTTTATGTATATTTACAATACTTTGACTCCCCTTGACTTTTCGATGTATCTAATTATTTATATTTTGACACCTCTTAATAAAAAATTTGGCTCCGCCACCGGGTGAACCCTCTTCAGGATTTTGTGTGGATGCTGGATGTCTTAGTGAAAATAGCACGGGCTAACCAGTTTTCGCAATGAAAATTGAAAAATAGCCAGCATTTGCAAAATTATTGAAAATAGCCACTATTTTGCTGCAACATGAAAAGTACCAGCATAATATACTGGAAATTGGTGCACCTGTGTATGAACTTCCGGCATATTATGCTTGAACTCCAAAATACGGAAAGTTCCAGCATAATATACTGGAGATTGGAGCACATGTGTATGAACTTCCAGCATATTATGTTGGACCAGTATATTATGCTGGAACTCCAGTATATTATGCTGGAAGTCCAATATATTATACAGGAACTCCAGTATATTATGCTGGAAGTCCAATATATTATGTTGGATATTTTTCGTATTTTGAACAGTGTTTTTGTGCAGATTTATCTTTACATGAAAAGTGGCTAAATTTCGATTATTTTTGAAACTGTGAATTATCACTTGTAAATCTGACTATTTTTTAATTTCACCCCTTAGCCTTATGCACCGAATTGCCCTTTAAATTCAGTGAGTCAAGAGTTTTAAATGGAGTGAACACAAGATTAATGATATAAACTCCACATAATTAACATCACATGATTTTCCTTCAAAATCTAATCTCAAAAACATTGAAGCTTGGATTTTCATATTCTCCCTTAAGATTATTGCAATATCGTAAGCTCTAGGTATCCCGTGGTAGACAAAGTTTACTTTTTATCAACAAAAATAAAAAGAAGATACTATATCCTTTTAGACTTTTCCCAATGCAATTAACTGGCTTTTAGAGATCAGATAAGCATAAAGTTGTAAAAAAGTTTCTAATTTCTTATATTAGTGCCTGCTAAAAGTTTCACAGATTCGAAACAGTATACTTTCCAAGATCCTCATCTTTCCTCAGAATCTTTTTATCACATTTATTTATGGATCAATTTTGTGTTTATCAATATCATGCCATATTTTTTCAAGGTCGAGTACCTGCCACCTCACATTAGTATAAATGTCTAGTAGTGGTGGCAAAATGGTTAAAAGAAAACAGTTATTCACTCATATTATTCATTAAAAATAGATTGGATAATGAACTTTTTAAAAACGGGTTAAATGTGGAATTCTCTCAAAAGTGATCATATTCAAAAAGTCATGGATAACCATATTACCCGCCAATTAATCCGTTTTTTTATTAAATATGGGTCGGATTGGATATTTTGTTCGTTTTGCATTACCCATTTTTAACCCGTCCATATCCGACCCAGCCCGCCCTTTGCCACTCCTAATGTCGAGGAACCTTACTATTAAGGCAGATGAAGAAAAAATCACCTAATATTATTTACCTCTATTGAGATTTGAAATGTTACCGCCCATAATTTTTATTTGCTTCATTGATATTTTCTATCTCTGTTGAGATTTGAACTATGATCTCCCCTAATTTTTACTCAGGACTTCATTGACATTGCCAGCTAGATCATAGATTAGCTTTCCCACTGCATATATACACCAATTTTGAATCATTGGTGTACCGTTTTCTTTTGGATATATCTGACAAAATTGGATCATGGTTAACTTCCTTTTTTTATTCTTCTTATAGTTTAACGTGTTGTATCTCAAGTATATGATATCTCATTCATGCTCTTTAGGTCTTTTTTTTTTCTTTTAAGTTTTGCTTGTTTCTTGCTTATGATATAAATCATGTGGTTTCATTCTGTTCTGATTTGATTTGGGTGCTAGAGTTTCTCAATTTTTATTGCGGACTTCTATCTCATTGGTAAAATAGGTTATTATATTATATTATTATTTATATATACACAGTTTTGTTTAAAGGTTCTTCTAGGATAACATTACTATTGCTATGAGATACCGACTTAGAAGGTATTCTATGATAAGTTGTGTGCTCAAAAGGTTTGGTTTCAGTCACGAACCATGGATTCCTTATTTTTTAGTAATTTCGAGTTTTTTTTTTTTTTTTTTTTTTGCTCGAATTGGTGTCTCTAACTTCTTAGATAACACAATTGTTATTTATTAGTTTATCACATGGAAGGTTTTATTTTCGTGGGTCTAATTCGTGACTCTACAATTGGTGTATTTTTAATTATTATATGTATAATATTACTAAAATATTATTTTTCTTTTTTTACTTGTGAATATTCGGGTTTCTCTGTTATCTTCATTTCACAACTGAAGTTAAAATACCAAGTTTTGATGTAAAACTGGAGAAGGAAAAGACAGGACTACCTATAAAAGTGAAACTATTTACCCTGCCCTACCCATTAAGGAATTCTACCGGCTAAATAATTACAACTCCTACCCATTTAATAAATAAACGGCAATAACAAAATAACTACCCACGCTTTTAATACCCTACGTATAAAAACGCAGAAGCTGCTCAAAATTTCAGAAAATTTGCGCACAAACGTAGAAAAACGCAGAAGCTCCTCAAAATTTCAGAAAATTAGCGCACAAAATTGAGATTTCCACCGATCGAAGAGCAGTAAGTGTGAAAAAACAGATCGAAGATGCTGATTCGGATTTTAATTTCGCTGTTCTCTTCAGATTTTGATTTCGTTGTTGATTTGATTTTGATTTCGGAGCTAAACTTCTGAATTTTAGCTGAAAATTCTAATCTAGGTTTGGAGATCTGGAGATCTAGAGGTTTGATTTCGCTGTTGTTTTGTTGAAATTTCGAACACTGTTGAAATTTGCATTGTTGAGATTCAATTTTGGACATAAAAGTGATTATAACTTTAGAATCATGGAAAATATTCCAATTCTGCTGCAACATAGTGGAGAATGGGATGATAACAATAATTTCATAAATTTTCATGTTGATGCAATTCTAATAAAGACCTATTGAAAATTTGAACAACTTCTCAGAGAAATTGCAAAGCAACTGCAAAAGGACAGTAAAACAATAGTTATTCAGTATGCTATTGCTCAAGGATATCCACCAATTACAATTTGCAGCGATATGAGTGTTAGTGTTTACATGGAATTGAAAAAATCAAGTGCAGGGATGACAACATTTCCCCTGTGTGTGTCGTTTGCTAAAAACACTATAGCTGCAAGCACCTCCAGTTTCGATGTTGCTCCAATTTCATCAGAAATTGCAGAATTTGGAAACACTGATATGATTACTACGTTTGATCTGCAAGAAGGAGATGACGCCATTTTAGAACTTGATGATGCAAACATCATAACTGATCAATTTCATCAAAATGTTAAAAAGGACAAATTTACAAAGACAAGAACCTGCTGGCTCTCGTTATGAAACAGTATGCCGTAAGGGAAAAATGCCAATTTCGGGTTCATAAATCATGCCCAAGAAGGTTCGTCTGCATGTTTTCAAGTAAAAAACTATGTGATACCTATATAGTATAAAAGTATGCTAAATCAGTATACTATGCGAGTATATAACTGTATTGGTTTGTCTTTTTTATTATCAGTAAAACATAATACCAATATAGTATATATAAATGCTAAATCAGTATACTATGTGAGTATAGAATCATTTTAGTTATCAGAAACGTACATTGAAAGAAGAATGGCACAACATGGATGTGGAGTGCTTAAACAAAAGTATCATCTTTAAATGGTTAGATGTTTTTTCTTTTGTCTGGGATGAGTGGAACTTACATGTTTCACTTTTACATTTAAGTTACTGACATATGTTCTGCTAAAGATAGAGAAGGGTCTTTCTAGCCTGTAGCAGTTAAAACCGAATCAAGAGCTTGGTGACTGAGGAGTTGAAACCGAATCGAAAGATACACAGGGAATAAAGATAAAAATAAGCACAAGTGCAAGTACGACCAACACTTACTTCTTTCATTTATTTATAACTGAGACCACGATGCAAACAAGGGTAGCTTAAATGGAAATAATTTTATAATACTAGGCTTAACTAGAAAAATATAGTACATTGTCATTAAGTTATTTGTTGGAACCTGGTCCCCCAAAAAAGACCGTATGCCCAAAAGCATTATTGGTAATTGGTTCATCATCAACCCGGTAAAGTGCGTGGGCATCTTCAAACTCTGATACTAGAGCCCCGGGATCCTCACTTTTTCCATCAATCAGAATTGAAATTTTGTATGGATATAAGTATACCAACAGAGTATACCATGTGAGTATATAATTGTATGGATTTTTGTGTGTTTTTTATCAATAATACATGATACATAACTGTATTTGTATTATAATCAGGTATATCCTTGAATGCGTGGATGAAAGATGCACTTGGAGACTTAAAGCATCAAGCCTGCGAGCATCAAATCTTTTTAAAGTGACGGATTTCAATTCTGTCCACAGTTGTTTAACTGATAAGAGATTTTGTTCACAAAAGCAAGCTGTCTCAGCTTTTGTTGCAGTTGTGGTACAAGATAAACTTGTTGACCGAAAACCATATATACACCAACAGATATCCAAAGAGACATCCAAAAAGCATATGGTATGGACTTGAGCTACATGCAAGCATGGAGATCAAAAGAAAAAGCAATGCAATTATTGAAACGATCACCAAGTGAGTCATACAAGAAAATGCCAACATATCTTTATATGTTAGAGTACGCTAACCCAGGATCAGTGACACGACTACACACTGAAGGAGATGAGAGCTTCTTGTATGCATTCATAGCTATATATGCATCGATTAGAGGATGGATCTATTGTAGGCCAACAGTTGTAGTTGATGGAAGTTTTTTAAAGTCAACATATAGAGGGACCATACTCACGGCTTCCACGCAAGACGCAGAGGGTAAGAATACAATCCAATTACATTCAGTTAAAGAAACAAAAAATATTTTCAAATATTATATGATACCAGTATGGTATACAAGTATACCAACAGAGTATATAGTTGTTTTGCCACACACCTGCACCTACCTATGACTATACTACTATATGAAATACTAAATTAATATTTTGTGTACAATCCAATTACATTCAGTTAAAGAAACAAAAAATATTTTCAAATATTATATGATACCAGTATGGTATACAAGTATACCAACAGAGTATATAGTTGTTTTGCTACACACCTGCATCAAATATTATATGATACCAGTATGGTATACAAGTATACCAACAGAGTATATAGTTGTTTTGCTACACACCTGCACCTACCTATAACTATACTACTATATGCGATGCTAAATTAATATAGTGTGTTGTAATTGATATTTTGTTCTTTGGGTTTACAGGACAAATTCTACCCCTCGCATATGCAATTGTTGATTCGGAAAATGATGCATCGTGGGAATGGTTCTTCGTGCAGTTCAGAGAAACCTATGGACAAAGAGAGGGAATGTGCATTGTATCAGACAGGCATGATGCTATATGGAAAGCAACTTCAATTGTCTATCCAGAAGTCCCTCATTGTGCATGTATGTTCCATCTGTGGAACAACATAAAGACAAACTTCAGGAAGAGCCAAAAACTAATCAAAGAAGTATATTTTGCGTTAGCAAGAGCATACACTGTTGAAGAATTCAATAGGCATATGGCAGAGTTAGAAGCTATTGATAGCAGAGTGAAAACATACCTGATGGATGTTGGATATGATAAATGGTCCCGGGCGCATTCCAAGGCAAATAGAACCATGACCATGACATCGAATATTGCGGAATCAGTAAATGCAGCAAACAAGCACGCAAGAGACCTCCCAGTTGTGAATTTGCTTGACTTTATGGCAACATTGATTCAAAAATGGAATTACACCAATAGGAAGGATGCAGTGGAATCATTTATGAAGATTGGTGCAAAGTATGAAAAAATATTAGCAGATAATACCATCTTATCACAGACGATGACGGTATGTATTTTCAAAATCATAAAAACACTGCATGTACTGTATTTTTACTTTTTTACCTTAGTGATTTCACTAAACAACTGAATATTATTATTTAAAAAATACTATTACTTCATATAGCTAATGATTTTTCTTAATTAAAATTATACTAGGTGTTGCCATCAACTGAATTATTACATTTAGTAATTGATGGCCAAACAAGAAATGTGGTGCGCCTACATGAAAGAAACTGCACTTGTGGGAGGTTTCAGCTAGACGATATTCCATGTCCACATGCAATGGCAGTTATACAAAAATTCCATATGGATTCATACAAGTATTGCTCAGATTACTACAGCATAGACTACTTGCTGAAAACATATGAGGTACCAGTAAATCCATTCCTTGATGAAACAACGTGGCAAATTCCAGAACATGTCTCTTCGCAGGTGGTACTGCCACCAAAGGACAAATCAAACCAGGAAGACCTAAAAGAAGAGAGGCATAGGAGGTTGGGAAGGAAATACAGTTACATGTGCACTAGTGCGGGAGAAAAACGGCAACAACCGGAGAACATGCCAAAATATTCCGAAAGAGAGATTGATATAATCGCT